GGAATATTGAAATTTTACATGGCAAAAGGTCAGCGTCCATGCCCTTTATATATGGCCTGCGCGCATCCAGGTTGAAGTAGGTCGGCCCTATATATAGGGCCTGAGCACTTCCCGGGTAGCCTGGCTCACGCCTTTTTTAGAGGACCTGCGTGCTTCCAGGGTTAAAAGTTAAATTCAAAATTGGAAACTGCATTTTCAGGGCGTCACGACGACTTTCAAAACACAGGGTCTTTGTCTTAGACCATATTCAGACAGGAAACTAGGAATAATAAAATAATAGATCTAATTCATTTTTTAATGGCATGGCATGGGCACTTTCTTGTGGAGGCTGAGGTGTAGAAGACTGGCATTCGGTAAATTTTTACTTTCACTCCCGCTCACAGATGCACTGCATTGGGAATCAAACTGCAGTTTCATTTCTTGCAGATCACACATATAGTCTAGCTACTAAAACTGTTGCAAATCATTTATTTTCAAGAAAATTTCAATACTTACTGCAAAACATCAAATATAAGTTAAAACAGGGACAGGGGGGCATGCCCCTCCCCCTTGTGTAACACTTTAGATTTTTTTCTTACTTCAGGGGGGCATCCCTGATTGGTCCAAAGCGCAAAAATTACTACGCAATTAGGCTTAGTATGATAAAAGCTCCTTTAAAAATCATGCAGTCATACTTAAATGCGAAAAGATGCGATCTATTCCAGCCTTCCCGGACAAAGGCGAAAAATCTTGGAGGTCCTGAGTGCAAGTTGCGCACGTTAAAGATGCCTTGGTCCTGGTGGTCCAAAATCAATAAAAGAGTATGCTTCAGCTGCCGCCTGGGCAACATTCAAAATTTCATAGGAAATCGGCTGAAAATGTTTAATTAATGTGTCCCATGCACTCATGACCTTATGCAGTTGTGAGCGCCATAAAACACATACACCCCCCCCCCCCCACCCCCCAAAAGTCTACAAGAGGCGTTTAACAAAAAGTAATTTTCCACTTGTCACAGTGGTACCCAGCGCTATAAAGTAAGGAAAGTCCTATCACAGTAATTGTATGATTAATAATATTTTACTAATAATATTCTGATGCAACAGAAAAGAAAATGAAACATCGAAAGGACGTCATGCGCCAATGTGGCATTCATCTGGAAGTCTCGGGTGTTCATCATGGCAGAATATAATACAAACTTGTAGGGACTGTAGATGGTAAGCATTACCCCAATTTTGATCGAAGTAACCCTGAAAATGAGTCTGAAGTCTGAATGGACACAAATAAGATGTCTTTTTCGTGTCTTTTTCGCATTTTTTAGTGTCTTCGTGTCATTTCGCGTTTTTTCGTATTTTAGTATGACCTGAACTATCAAATGTTTTCTAAACTTTTAATTTGCGTCGGAAATGAAGTCGATATTCGTATACAGTGCATCATATGTAGTAGAAAATGGACACATAGTAGCTAAATGTGAAATGGGAGGGAAAGGAAGGTTTTTTTACTCATTGACCCGTCTCATGTACAAGTTTATATACTTTTTTTCTAGTAGTATTTTGCATGCTGAACACGAATATGGTCTTCTTTTTTCCAGCAAATCAATAGTTATTGAGTTATTGATGTTTGAAAACAGAACTACAGTATAACCAGTGAAATCACGCATCCGTCGAACTGTGCCTTCTTCTTTATCTTTGTAAGAAATTTACGCAAAGCTGGAACACAAACATGGAATAGTCGGACTAATTCCACTGCCGTAGAGGTCTATAGTCAATGTCCTTTGAGGTGCACTTGAGACCAAAAAATATGAATAATAATTAAAACGGAAAAAGGCGAGGTTTGTAAAATACCCCCACTTCCACAGAAGCAGCTTGCTCTGCTATTTTTATCGCGCTGCGAGACACACGTGCCCTCTGTGCGTGCCTAGGTCCTAGACCTAGCTAGGCTTGTGTGGAGCGGGCGAGAGGAGGAGTTGTGCATCCCACGATCGGCCGCCCCACCCCTCTTGGCAAAGGACTACGCTCTTGGTGTGAGAGGCGAGCTAGGGCTGTATTGTTTCGTCATCGTGTTGATCACTGTTGCGATATGCTTATCTTGTCAAATTGTGTGTTTTGAAAAATTTGAAAAGGCACCGTTCAATTGGTGCAGACTGAAGACCGCTCACACTAACCTGTTCAATTAAGTTGTCTTGGTACTGGTAGGCTCATTACCGATGGAACTCGAAAGCGTTGCTCATCGTGTTTTTCATTCTCAATCTGTCAATTTCAAATTCTCTCAAATTTCAGATTCAAATCAATAGGCATAGATAGGCATAGATCTAACCTATCTGATCTAGGACAATGGCTGAAAAAAGAAGAATCTTTGTCCACACACAATCTTTGTTGCTTCCCTTGATTCTCTCATGGCATAGCTGATGCCATAACACTGTTCAGGTATCCGTCGAACTACGGATCACTCTAACTACTGAGGCCGGTCCCGGCGAATTTGAGCTATCCGTGTTATACTGTAAGACCAATGGCGTAGCAGTGTTTGACTTGGTTTACATGGGGGGTTTCTGCATTTCACTATGATTTGATATTTTTGCAATTAGGATTGATATATTTACTTGAAAACAATTGATTTGCAAGGGTTTTAGTGGTCATATTTGTGTTCTGCAGCAAAAATTATGACAGTTTAGCCCTCAAAACAGTGCATCTGTATGTGGGTCTAAAAGTATTAATTTACCAGTAAAAGAATACCTGTCATTCTTCCAGATTTGCCTTTCGTTCACATTTGCTGGATCGGAGTAATAATATAAGGCTAGGATTATGAAGGGGAAGGGTTGGGGTAGGGTTAGGCTAGCTGAAATTATTTTCCATGTTTTGCGGCAATTTATGTTTTTTTAAAAGGAAAATTTTCAGTGCCAGTGGGTATGAGTGCGTCGTGTCGTCCCTCAATTTTTACAACTCTCACACTGAGTGTAGGTCTACTTGAGCCAGTTCAGTTATTACTCTACTTTGAGTTTGAGCCATAATTTTTGTTCTTCACGTTTGTAATGTCGATTATGACATCCAGATTGGTTCTTGACAGCCTTCACAGGCCCAAAGCAGGATTCATTTTTATATAGTGTTAGACTGTTTAGTATAATATGATGAGGGGAAAATATAAAGAGGTGAGAACAGAATGAAATACTTTAGTCACACTAGACCCCAATGCCACACTGACATGTTGTTGACTGGATATAATGTATGTACGAATAATATACATAATATACATATTACCGTCCGTTCAGCAGTCTCATTAAAAAAAATTCAAATTTCACTAAAACTTTACTTAGATCTCACTAAAAGCTTTCATTGTAGGTTGGCATCCCTGCATACCCCTACACATACCCCTACCCCAAACACTAACCTTAACCCTTACCTTCTTTTCTTCTCTGCTTCATATTAGTCACCCGTTATGAAATTCCTCTCTAAAAATGTTCATAAAATGGCTAAAACTATCAAAGTGAAAGGGGAAAAGTAGTTAATTTATCTAACACTTTATAGTCGAAATAGTTGACTTTGATGAATCGTAAGATGATTTGACGTTTGTACTGTCCGCTGTTGGACTAAGCACGTTGCACTGGGCACTCCCATTGCTCGCTCTGGATAACCCTAGTCAATGATTATAATCTATGATTAACCCCTATCCCCCGGTAGTCGGGATTATGTTCCTCGATAAGCATATTTTTGCACTTCGCTTTCCATCCGGTCCCGCATCAGTCTGGCACTGGCTCAGCGCATGTGTGCCGAGCACTACCCGTGGATAGCTGTGTCCCGCATTCTCGAAGCTCAAGTATGTGTGCGTCAGTCTGCTTGAGTTGGTGTGCGTTGTGTGCTCGTACTTCTAGAACCATCTGCGTTTGTTGTAAACCAAGGCGTATGCCTCATTTGAAACATGCGAAGTTGGTAGCTCTGGGTGTTTGTCCAATGAAATTTGAACAAATTGACCCACTAAGACATGAGGAACTCGAAAGGATAACCAAGAAACAAGACTTCCTTTTTTTCTGTACAAAATCTTTCAAATGAGCTTGATTTTACATAAAATTATATTACCTGCTATAAGCTTATTTGATAGTTTTGAATACCATTGTGTAGGTTTGAGAACAAAACATTTTGAAATCAACCTATATTCTTTCCTTTTGAACCCCAGATCATTCATAACTACAAGAACGTTTTGTTTTCAGACTCTTAAATGGATCCTCTTGTCCACTTGGCTGGTCATTTTAACTTTGTAGGTCTAGATCTATTTCGTCAGCTAATTTCAGTATGGTATAAAACATTTATTTCACTCGTTATAGTGGTAGACCATGATTTATCCCACTTGTGAAATTGCTTTGTAATCACTTGTTGAAACTCGTGATTACAACTTGGCAATTTCACTCGTAGTATTAATCATGTTCTCCCACGATAACTCATGTGTAATAAATTCTTTATCATCATCTTCCTTCTGATCAAAAAGATCGCTGATAGAGTGATATGTACACTCCTAATTTACATCTTATAATCTTTTCTGAAAAAGAAATCTGTATATATTTTGCTCATTAACATCATCATCATTACGGTGCCTTGCTGCCTGGTGTGGGCCATCATGGGCCTCCACTTCACTCTGTCTTGCTTTGCAGCGATGGTGTCTGTCGTTCTCGCTGTTCCCAGCCCTGTTGTCAACCTGTCCAGTATCTTTTCCCTCTGTCTGCCTCTGCCTCTGCCTCTCTTTCCATCAAACTTGCCTGTTGTTACAATATAATTTATTCTCCAATGCTTCTTCCCGCATTGTTGTGTCCAATGAATATCGCCTTTCGTATATTCGTCATATGCTGTTGTCTGCAATTTGCTTCAACCAAGATTTCTTCATTTGTTTTTCTAGCTGTCGTTGGGATATGGAGCATGTGTCTTATGAACCACAACTCTGTCGCCTCAATTGTTCTTTCCAGCTCTTAAACATACATTCTGAATTTTTATTGCATTGAATGTCTACCTATTTCATAAACTTTTTTTTTTGTTTTCCAGGCATGAGTGCTTTAAAACCAGTGGGAGTATTTTGGGACATAGAGAATTGCTGTGTCCCCAAAGGAAAGTCAGCACTCAAAATTATAGAGCGTATTCGGGAACTCTTTTTTACGAACTGCCGGGAAGCCGAGTTCATATGTGTTTGTGACATCAACAAAGAATCTGATGCAACAATCAAAGATTTAAATGATGGACAGGTAAGTTGTCTTTGGTTTTGTTTCTTTTTCCCATTTATCGTAATTTTACACTCTCTTTACAGATAGCTATGAGAAAGAAGCAATATTTAACATCATGTTAGATTTCTGGTTCTTTTAATTTCTTCAATGATCAAATTTTTGTGTGACAATGTTGATAGATTGTTCTTGAAGGGATAATAAAACCGGCCACCTAAATTATCTAAACACTGTTGATTTTAAGTATATGAAAGCTGTAGAGAAAGGGACAGATCTCTGGAAATTGAAAAAATAATATAATGTTCTCCATGAATTTCATGTCCTGAACTTTTTTGTTGTAACTGTTGAGCCTGATGGTTCTGTAAAGATATTAATTGCCTGTTTCATGTTTAAATGTTGTCTCAATTTTGTTGTTAATTTTTTTTTCTTACAGATTAATGTGGTACATATCAATGCAACAGCCAAAAATGCAGCTGATGATAAAATTCGCCAGAGTTTACGTCGATTCTCGGATTCCCACCCACCTGGCACCAAAGTTGTTCTTATTTCAAGTATGGTTTTTTCAAATTATTCGGAAAAAAAAAATTATTAGAAAAGGACAGTATAGGGGGCTTGGTAAATGCTAACATAATATTATGTATTGCCATTATTATCATCCAAATGAGGTTAAATAACCGTTAGTCATGTATACAGGGAGGAATAGAGTTGGTAGACTGTGACAAAGAAAAAGGTGTCCAAAGTAGGGAATTTCATTTAAACACAGACAGAATTTATCAGGACATGTTTCGATTGTATAAGCATTTTTAAAGAACAGGTTTTTTTCACTTAAGAGGAGGCAAAAATACCAGAGTTGTCATTGTAAGAAGAAACACTTGAAGGCTTTTTCCTAATTACAAAACATAAACCCTGTGTTATATTTTACTACTCAGTTGTTGCCATTGCTCCATGCTCCCTGCACTGAACTTTTCCTTTCTACCTGCTCCTAAAAGTATCATGTTTTCTGTTTGATTTTTGAGTTTCAAATCCAAGTGGAGTATGACTGTTTCTAATTGTTTGTTCTCATGTCTCTGCAAGCTATTGAAAGTACATGTGTATTCTTATATCATATATATAGTCTGTGCTCTAATGGAACCTACTATCTCCACGGCGTCACTTTTCGCCTGATTCTGTTACTTTTAGTTAGCGTGACTCAGCAGCCCGCCGGAGCTCCCCGGCTCGGGGTCACGGTGTTAATGAGCCCTGAAGCGACTTTGCCGCTGTCGGTTAGGAAGTTAGCATTTTTGACTATGTTTAAAACTATATAACTTCTTCCCCATCCCACACAGCAAACCATTACGTGGATGTACTAAAAGCTCAATGTCTTGAGATTTATTTGCTTTAGAATGGTTAATTTCTGTGCCTTAGTTTTTGTTCTAGACAAGTGTTTGTAGAGTACCCAATTTGTCCTATTTTAGTTACAAACTTATGAATAAATGATTATTAATTTTAAAAAGGCTTGACAGATCTTGCCAAAATCTGTGTTTAACTGACTACGAAAATCATGTCTTTTACCATGTGAAATCTTAAATCTGCGCGAGTAGAAATAGTCAAGTTATAAGAAAAGAAAGATGCACATCTGCATTTTTTAACTAAAGACGATCAGCGTTAGCTTTTATTTTACTATTAAACAAGAGAAAGTTACTCTGCGTTTGTTCATGAATCATGCTGTGTCTGTGGCAGCCTGCACACAACTAAAAAGATATAATATAAGCGATTTAAAAAACCCACAAAACAGTGTAAATACATGGGTAGAGATAAACTTCTTGTATGGAGTAAAAATAATGACAGCTAACACATTCATTCTTAGTTTTTGTGTCGGAAATATGCGCAGACACAATAATGAATGTAAAGAAATCAGTCACATTGTCTGTTATTGCAAATGGTCATAGAAACGAAAAAAAAGCTGGAAAAGTCTGGTGCTGATTCAGTGTCCCTGGAAAGCAAGAAATTATTCTTATAACCCAATTACGAGAAGTCAACCCTATTATTCAGTCAACTTACAAAACCTAGACTTAGTGTTTTAAGTTTAAGGTTAAGAAAAGTAAGGAATTTCTGGAGGGTAATAGATACTGTTCGAGTTGTACATTGAAGATGTATTCTGGCACTAAAATCGATCTGTACTTTTCATACAGAAACTTCATGGTAACTTTTATGAACTTTCGAGAAAATGTGCGAATATTCACGATTATATTAGACACATAAAGTTGTATTTGGAGGAATTACTTCATAGCAAATTGTGTGCCCGATGGATAAAGTTGCAAAATTACAGCTTTCTGTTATATGCGCAGATACCATCTTTTCTGAGTATCTGCACCAAAGCTATGTCGTTCATGTTCCAAAAGTTCGACAGATTTAGTCGAGGCCTTTTTTTTTGTATTGATTTTTTTTCATTCACGCCAGTCCAAAACCCCCCAACAATTTAGCATTGCCGACTCCAGCGCGTCTAACGAAATAACAAGACAAGTTACAACGTCCGTTCTTTTTTTGAGTATCAAAAGCAGAAATGTGTGCTTTGGGTGCACTAAATGAGAATTACCATAAATACAAGGATACACCTAAAATTGTACGTTGAAAAGTACCAAAAATTAAGTCGGCCCAGACAAAGCGGTGACAGGGAGCTGACCCCTGTGACCCCGACGTGATAAGGCGCCCGGCAGGGAACCCCCCGCGGCAACTAAAATTCCACTGCCGGTGCGCCATGTCTCGAATTTCCACGGAAATCTTTTTTTGTGTTTTACACCAAAAGGTTCCAGATACCTTGATACACAATTGTATAAACTGTGAATATTTAATCCAGATTCAAACTGCAAATGCTCGAAAACACACTTTAAATTTTGTGCGGACTTCACTTTCACCATAAGGACACAATTTTGATCTGATGAATCTGGCTAATGCGATATAGCGTGGTTATTGAAGGGCACTGGTTGAAGACTCGGGTCTGTGAGCCTCGCTATCTCCCTCCACTTGTTCACTTTATTTATTGATTTCACTTGATGTGTTGAGGAAGGAAAAAAAAATTTCACTCACACAAAATGTATAATAGCTCACAAGCTGGCCATTGGGACATCATAGAATGACTTAGACTTAGAGCATTTTAGAATGTGCTTTTGGAAACAACCCAAATATAGTGTGGGTAGACTGGAGCAACTGAAAGCTGCATATTGTTCTGTTTCAACCTCTTAGCAGGTTCATTGAACCTCTCTAACCAAGGGGTATTTTGTCGTCAACTCTGTTTGCGCATAATGCGCTCAAGGAAAACATGTACTTTGCAGGATTTTGTCTTAGGCTCACCAGAATACATGGACAAAATTTGATTGCCTTAGTGTTAATATGAACAATGTTGGACAATTTTTTTGGTCTCTCCTAATGTAAAATTTAAAAAATTGTGTTAACGAGGTTCCAACGGAGCGCTGACGATATTTGGCTTCTGTCTCAAACAAACAGAAGGAACAAAAAAACATAAATGTCCATGCTATTGTGCTGCCATGACTTACCAGTACCTTATGTAGTTTGTTGATAAATCCAATTGTGTTGTCTGCATGACATGTAGTTAAGTCTTATGTAAATGTTTTCCTGGCTTAGGTGACGTGAACTTTGCCTCTGACTTGTCGGATTTGCGTCACCGTAAAAGATATGAGGTTGTGTTGGTACACAAGTCTCAGGTCAGTGATGCACTGCTCCTGTGTGCTTCGGAACATTACCTCTATGAGGAGCTGATCAGGGATCTCCCGGACAGGCCGGGAGCAAAGGTAATCAAGTATTTTTTATGTCATTTCTTGCAAGGATTGTAACTGTCCTGACCTGTTGTGTGCTTTGTCAGAATTCTTACTGAATTGAGAATGTATATTCTGCTTCATATTTTAAAAGACTCTTGAGGAGTGGTTGTTCCTGCTGAAGTTGATTTTGTATGTCTTGGGACACTGGAATTAAAAAATGTTTCTCTTTAACTTCTAATTTTGCACTTACCTCAAATTACTGCAGGGCCCTTGCCTTGGCATGGCTGTTCCAGAACGGAGCACTTAGTTATCTGAGGAACTGACCCGATTGTCATGCCTCACCCAGGTGATCATGGAGGTCACTTTGACCTTTGCTCTACGAGTGAACTGTTGTGACTTAACAATTTTTATACAGTTTGATAGCTTTATCGTGGCTTTTCCCATAAACAAATCAATGTGAAATTATTATCAACAGACAGGCATTCTTGGACTGTACAGCAAATAACCTTTATTGATATTCTTAACAGGGCTCCCTTTAAAACATGGGCACAACTGAGGGCATCTATGGGGAAAATGTTTACGTGGGTCTACTTTTTTAAATTATGATGTTTTTAAATGTGTACACCAGATCTCTAAAATAATCAATGGTATACAACAGTGACATGATGAGCTTTGAGAAACACTTACATTTGGTTTAATTCATTCAGAAATGGGGAACTTGTAGGAGATTTACAACTGTCCAATTAATGAAACGAAAGGTTTTTCGTAGTCTCCTCACAGTTTTCACAAATAGTGAACTTGTAGAAGACTCACTGCTTTCCAATTCCATGACACAAGACTTTCCTCGTTGTCTCCTCACATCTAAAGCTGCTTTCACATTCACAAACACATAACATATGAATACTCATAACAATAAATTGTAAAAGTGTCTTTGTATCCACGGGCTAGTTGTCTTCCTCTTTTATCCAATCCCAAGCTGCTGCCTAAGCGTGGATGCATTTTGCAGTCTGTGGGCCTCAATAACAGCTTTCAACTGTTTTCCTATTCCTTTTATTCCCACTGTCCTCTTCTCCAGTTTTTCGATGGTGGAGTGCACATGTTCGCCACCCTGCTCTCCCATTAAACCCAGGCCAAATCCATATCTTTTAATAAAAGACAGACAGTGGTGCTCTTATATGTGTTGTTTGGGTGTGACTGTGTTTGGAAATACTCGTCTGTAGAGTTTCAAATATCAGAAATTGCTGTTCCTATAATGTCAAACTCAGTTTCTTGTATTTTATGTGTGTGAGAGATGAGGTGGTGTACTTCAGCATAACTGCTGTTTAATAGATCAGATTTCTGTCTGGTTGCGTGGGCTGCATCTATGATGTTTTGGTTAGATGTAAGAGCTGCAGTGTGTGTACAAATGTGTTTTGTGATGTTTGTGTACTCTGGGAGCTTCAAGTATTGGTGACAATGGTTTACTATCAGAGGTCGACTATGGTAAGGTGTCCAGCTGTGTAAACTTTCTTCAATACTTTTTTGTGTAGCAGATAGGGTTGATTCTAGAACCTGTTTCCTTAAGCGGTATATGCGCTGTACACATTTGTTGCACAATTCACAGGGATGTGTGTCTGCACTATTTGTGTCCATGTTCATGCGATAGAACATAAGGAAGTCATTTTAAAATGTACACAAAAATATCTGCTCTGGTTTGCCTTCTTAACCTTTTTACTTCTCACCCCGCATGTTCTACAGCTTTTTTACACACACAAGGTGTAGTTCCGGTGTGTTCCATTTTCACTCTACTAGTAAGACTCTCCTAACACTTGTCCATAAAGAATCCGGGAAAGTGAAAGCGGGTGCTTTGGTGAATACCGCAAGGAGCAGTGCAGCGGTCGGGAAATTATCACAGGGTGAAGTAACAAAGCTCGCCGTCCTGCTAGAGTTTGCCAGTGAATCTAGACAATTTATTCACAAATAACCTCCTTACTGACTCTTGATACGGCAGGTAAATAAATGATAACGATCTGCATTTCACGCATGAAAAAAGTCCTGATCTTTGTAGCAATCTGAGAAATACGTGCACCACAAGTTTGGGTTAAGTACAGAGGTAGTGGGTGTACACGCTCAGACCTGCAAATGAACTAAAGGATGCGGGTTATTGTGGAGAGTCTGGGCTTTCATTTGATACCTCACACACCCATAGTGATAGATAAGAGAGGACATTTACAGGGGTCTAAAATCATGAGAAAATTACAGACTTTCTACCCAAAATCGGCTAACAGCGCTGTCACACAGAAAGCGATGCGTGGCCCGAATGTCAGGTGGGATTTATGACCCCGGGAGGTCAGCGGACGGGTTAAACTAAGTGCTCTGCAAGGATAGTAGAACTGAACAGCCGTGTTGGGTATCCTTTATAAAGTTTCACATTCGACAAACCGTCGTGCTAGTTCCCCTAAAATTACTTCCAGTGGACAAAGTGTTTTTAAGATTATGATCTCTTTAGCAAGAATTTTATTTGCAGTACTAAAGGCTCATATAGTGGAAAACTCTCAAGTACCGCACCAATTTAGAATGCTGAAGCCATTGTAGAATTTTAAAAAATTAAAAGAACCTTGGCAGCACAGAAACATGCTTTAAAATTAATTCAGCTATCACATAGAGTGATTTCCTTTAGTATTTACTTCAGTACAGTGCGTCCGTTTGTTGTTTAATTATGTTTTGTGTGCTTGGTGGCGTTGGTGACTAAAGTTGCTAGCGGTAGTGAGCGCATATTACAACCTGGCGACTCAAGTAACAGATGGTTCTGTAAGTGTTAAATATACAGTTTTCAGAGAGATTGTGTAATCTTTAAAAAGTAAGAAAAATTTAATTTGAAACAGTTTAATTAGAATGATGCATCTGACTCTTTGGTAAGTTCCTCATTTTGTCTTGCTTTGTCTTAATCTGATGAATGGCAAAGTCATAGGTTTTTGGAGAGCTCTATTTTAAATGAATGTGCACTTGCTTTATTTTTCTATTGTTATTATTATGATGAGAAAACATCCGTGTGACATTTTAAATGGTTGTTCATATGTTTAAAGTGTAGTGGAAGCTTTTCAGAAATATAAATCATCTACTTTTCATCAGAGTCTTGCTTGAAAAACAGTGGTTCCTCCGAGTTGAAACATTGGTATTGCTTGAAAAACAGTGGTTCCACCGAGTTGAAACATTGGTATTCACATATTAGAAGATTTTTATAGAGAGGTGGTCTTGCTCTGAGGGATTAATTGAATTTTAGCCGAACAGGTTCAACATGTTGCATGGCAGGGTACATTGCTTTTGAAGAAAAAAAGTTTTAACTTTAAGAGGCCACTGGATAGATTGAAGCAAGAGTCAGCAGGGGTTACTACTTATGCACTGCATTAAAGCATCGTGTATACTCCTGGTTCTGTGGCTGCGGCCGGTTCCGGTGGGTCTGTCCTTATTACCAGGAGCTGAAGGATCCTGTACTGGTGGTAACCGGCTACAACAAGGATGAGCCCCTGGAGCGAGTGCGGACTATACTCAAGATGCATTCCAACAACTGTGGGGGAAAAGTCATCTCCATTGGTCCAATCTTTGCTGTGCTCAAATTTGAGACTCCGGAATTGCTAGAGAGGTGAGTTAAAATGTCTGCAGCCATTTCTCAAAGAAAAAGAAAGAAAATTAGCCTGATACTTTTCAGAGATGTGAAGTTTTTTTGTACAATGACTAATACAACGCATACATAAAATGGTTCTGAGGTTACATGTACATCTTATTATACGCTACGCTATATAAATAATAGCTCTGTACAAATAATGCTTCATTTTTGTCCCTCTTTCGTTTCAGTTCACCTTATTTTCTTCCTTTCACTAAATTATCATTATTGTGATGATGTGCTTCTCTTGACTCAAACGAACAAATATTGCTGCAAAACATGCCGATATTTGGTGAACTGACTAAATTAGGGTGCAGTATGTTTCTTAATTAAGGATACATTGTCCTCTCTAATGGTCCTCGGTGCTTGGAAACCAATGGAAAGGAATGTATTTTTTGCGTCACTTTTCGTGGAAGAGTCAGTGCAGTTGAAATCTCCATATAACTTAATATTTCCACAGTTTGTATGTTGACACACCACGCAACAGACAACAATGAACTTGTTCATCGCCATCCGTTGGGCGAAAGGGGAGTCATTTTCGTAGACTTTGCCACTATAAATTCGTTCCCCTTTCGCGCCACGGTTTGTTGGTTTTTGTTTTAACTCTCTCGGGTTCGCCACTTTTTGAGAAAATTGTGTTGATTCACAACCTCTTCAGATCTTTGCCCTGCTGTGAGTAAGTCTAGTACTATACCCAGGCTTATTATGTATCTATGTAAAGGAAATTGAATGTAGAATACAGTAAAATAATAACAATTAATTTTTTTATGTCTGCTTTCATTGGTGACCTACTTTAACTGTTACTAAAAATAGATTGCGCACACATTTTTACATGAAACTGACAAACATAAAGAAGGAAAAAAAAAAATATGATCAGATTGGCCCAAAATTGATTGATATTCTAAAAGAATGTCCATTTCTGCTCATGACAGACAAAGAATGAATAATTTAGGACCCATATGAACACTTAGGTGGCACATGGAAAATTAGATGTATTTTGGAGATAATTGTTACCGAAAATAGATTTTTCACAAAATTCTCTGATTACTCCCATTGTGCCAATATTAGGCTATGATATTTCTACAAAAACATTCAAATCACATTATTTGACAATAAAAGAAGAGAATTCATCATCTAAAAGGTTTATAAACCAACTGTGATGCTAGAAAAATTAAAACTTGAGTTGAAAAATAGTGACGAAAACATTTGTGCATATATTTCCACCTAGAGTATGTCATTGAATACAAAAAAAACATTACTCATACTCATTAGCTGGATGATCTAAAAGAAGACAGTTTCTTGTGCTATTAAAACAGAAGTTTTTTCCACACTTGTTACATTTGACACTAGACACTTTCTCAAGACGATAACAACGAAAACAATTTCTGCGCTAGAGATGGACGAGTCTCTTTCATTGCCGCAAGGTTGGCCTACTCGTAGGTGTATGTGCAGATCTGCAACACAAATGCCTATATTCGAAAGAGTGAAGAAAGCACCTGTTGGAAAATAGAAACACAAGAAAGAATTGTTGATAAAAGGCATCCATGATAAGAGATATTTATATATGATAAGATAAATTTGATGGATCCACGAGAGAAATTTTAGGTGGATATATAGGCTATACCAGTACATCAACATACAACATTCAGCAACAACACAGCAAAGTACACATTACAAATTATACAACGCTCGCACCAATGCTCCATTCAATCAGACAAATGTACATCTGTGCGGGATGAACCCTTCT